TCAGTAGGTGATTCAACCCCAGATTCCAGCATGGCTTGATCCAATAGTTGCACCAGCGCAGGGAGCACAGATTGACAAGAATAGGAATGAATTAAGTGCCTATCTCGCTTAGTAGCAACGCCACAGCAAAGACAAAGATCATCGAGAGCTGCCATTGCTGAAAACGTGGGTGGAATGCTTGGTAGCTATAGCGACTGCAATTTGATTAGGTCTCCCGATTCTGGCAGCCGCAACATAAATGAATATTAAGGCTGAAACCAGACTCCATCCCGCCTACCCAATTGACAAAAAGGGGTGGAGTCTGGCCGCTCGAGACTACCCTTTGGCCTGATTTTTTAGCAACTTTAAAAATTCATTAAAAATCCAATTTTGATCGGAATCAACTCAAACTTTCTACACAGCAGAAGTACATGTATATGTATCAGAAAAAATTATAAAAATGGAGAATTTTCTCCTTGTCATTTTTGGTGAATATTGACCAAAGTCCCTGTACTACAGGGACTTCGGCCTGATTTTGGAACAACTTTAAAAATTCATTAAAAATCCAATTTTGATTGGAATCATCTTAAACTTTCTAGGCAACATATGTACATGTATATGTATCAGAAAAAATTTAAAAAATGTAAAATTCTTTTTTGGCAAATTTGGCCAAAGTCCTATATAAGAGCTTCGGCCTGATTTTGAGCAACTTCAAAAATTCATAAAACTCAAACTTTGATCACTAGTTTCACTACACAACATAATGACTGTATAATGTATGTACATGTATCAGGAAAAATGGGAGAAATTTTTTGTAGCAATTTTTGACAAAGTGCCTTGTACAGTACACGGCCTTTGGCTAAATTTTTGAACAATTTAACAATTTTTATGTTGATACAATCTGCTCCGAATTTTTACGAATCATAAAAACATGTAGCTATGTAAATCAATAATAATATGATTTCTTTTCTTTCTAAACTCAGAGGATGCTGGACGAAGAAGAGAGAGATGATACAACACTGAAGGAGAGATTTGGTTCAAAATGGAAGAGAACTACATCAAATGAACTGACACAGAGCATTCGTGGTGAAGTGGCAAAATTTCAAGGAATTGTTGAATCAGCAACTAAAGTAAATTAGTACTGCCATAATAATATATATTTATCCATCAATATAGTAATATTAATAATTATTTCATTTGTTCACAGTATGTCATGCCATTGGTGTGCATTCATCTCTCCTTGTATTCATTGTACTGTATTTAGAGCTTTTATTGTGATTTATCAGCAATACCATCTATGAGCAGCACTATTATTTATTCATTCATTCTTTTATTGTGTACTTCTTGTATTTTCATGTCTCCCTCTACCCTCACTCTCTCTCACACTCACACACACACACACACACTCTCTCTTTCTCTTCCTCTCTCTCTTTGTAGGCTGATTTAACCGTTAGAGAGAAATTTGAGACACATTGTCCGGCTATGGTGACACTCAAAAAGAGCGAGACTGACCCTGCCTAAAGCTGGTGCAATGGCACTTATGGCAGCCATCAAAGCTGGAAGCCCAGTATGAGAAAAATAAAAAAATAATGATTAATCTTCAATGATGTTATTTCTAGTCTGTCCAAGAGCTTCATTCATTGATGGAGGATGTGAAAACGATAAAAGCTGAGAGAGAAGTGTTGGAGCAACAGCTAAAAGGGCCAGTTGCTGACATTAGTAAGAAAAGAAAACATTGATAATATACTTGTACTTGCTTCTCTTTCTCTCTCTTATTGTTTCTCTTCCTTCTCATAGCATGCATCATAATTACTTCCGAATGGCAAAATGGCTACTTTGCCATTCATTTGTACGTCACTATAAACTCTTCTGGCAGGCTTCCTTAACTATGAGCATGCCTAATTTATGCTGCTCTTTCATTTGCCTAGACCCAGGGATGCAAAGGAAGCAAAAAGTCGTCAGATAGAGAATTAGTGAAGCGGCTGAAGTGAACACAGTCTTGTCTTGTTACTCCTATAGTTATTGCTATCGCTACTTTTCTGCTAAATACTGATATAATTGTACTCCTTTTCTGCCTTGTGCTGTAAAAAGAAGCTGTGGAAAAAGCAGCTTTACTGCTGTAAGCGAATAAGGCTCATTAATTTTTGCCATACGGAAATAATTATGACATCAAGAAGTGACATCACTGCAACCACTCTAAACAGTCATAAGAATTCTCATTTTTAAATAATTTTTTCTGATATATATATATACCTATGCATATACTTATATGTTGTGTAGAAAGTTTGATCTTTTTTCGATCAAAATTGAGTTTTTTAACGAATTTTTAAAGTTGCTCAAAAATTCGGTAAAAGTCCTTGTCTTGGGCCAAAATTTCTCCAAAAATGGCTAGGTTAGAATTCTCCATTTTAATAATTTTTTTTGATACATACATGTATATGATTTGTAATAATTATCATGCTCACAAATAGGGTCGTCTCATGGTGGCTGATGATTGGTCTGAATGTCCTTCTTGTCATTTCCCAGCACTTTATTCAGAGTTTAAGAAGTATGCATGTAAATGTACATGTATATGATCTAAAATAAAGTTTATCTGTTGTCATTATTGCAGGTTATTAGAGTCAGAGAATACATGCCCATTATGTTCAGCAGAGATCTCTTCTAAGTCGATTCAACCATAGATAATTACCTCTGATATACAGACTAAATGAAGAAATTATTGTTACATTAATCCATCACTTATGTACATGCATCCCCCTTTCATTTATAAAGAACATTGCATTTATTATAATGTATATCATTAATAATAGCATGCAAGAGTTGGTGGATACAGCTCCTTTAGACTTTGCACCTCTAGTCGCAGAATAATCTATTCAGATACAGATTGGTTTCTTTGACAGTTAGACACTCTATCAACTGTACCGAGGTCTTTGCCCCTGGGCCCAACTGCATGCATGGTTACAATAATTGATTTCTGAGGAATTCTAATGCTGTTAAAAATTGAGTAAAAATTATTACCCTGCAGTGATGCATCTACTCCTACACTTTAAATTGATCAAAATTATTTTCAATATACGCAGTTGTTGAGCATATTTCTTTTTTAAACTGACCACTGAATATGTATATGTCCTTTGTTTCTATTATATCAGAGTATCAGTGAAGAATTGAAGATGTCCATGCTTAACTGCGGTCAAGACTTGACCTGTAAATATTTCTGAAATTATTATTTAAAAGCAAAAATAGAAGTGATAAAAAGTGATAACAATTGAAACTAAAACTGAGTAGAAATTAGAGAGAAAATGCAGTAAAAATGTAATTAAAGTTTATTTTGAAAAAACTCAATACGGGCGAGCCTGAAAATTATGAATTGTTCATATCAAAATTTTATTGTTGTCAAAATTTAAAATTTATTGCACGTGGCACGTGCACTTCACGTTCACGACTTCACTTCAGCTTGTATCTACTATCAAGAGTAGATAATCTACTCTTGCTACTATCTAATGGTCTAGTTCTCTGAAGAGTAAAGACTAAGAGGTGAAGGAGGGTTTCGTCCAGTCTATTGCTCTCCATGTACTGGTGTAGTAGTAGTTCTGGTGCCCAGTGGTAAGGGTTTGGCCAGCGAATTTGGCTAATGTTCTTGATTTCTCGGCGTCTCTTGGAGCGCCCTCCTGTATTATCCTTGACGGAAGAATTTTAAAAGTGACTTTAAAGTAAATTTCGCTTTACTTGAGCGTGTTTTATATTAGATGGGATTTTGGTTGTGAAAGTTTCTCTTTAGATGTCCTACCTATATCTATAGACCCTCTGTACTGTATAATGGTTCCAGTCTTCTCTCCGAGCTTCTTGTACCCAAACTACTAAACTGTACCAGCTGCTAGTAATAATTCAAACTAAAGTAAACTGGTGAGTTCTGTGGGGCTGGTGTAGCCATTAAAATTGATAAATTGAGAAGGGCGACCTCTCTGTGTAGCATATTATTTTAATTTGTGACCATGTCAATTGATGTAATTATTTATTATTTAATTTTGCTACATGTAATGAGTCTGAATATTATGGGGACAAAGATTTGGGAGGAATGGACTAATAGACCCTATTGGGTGCTAATTTCTGCAAGTAATTATTGCATTACGGTATCCACCCACACTCATGATTTGGACGGCAATAAGATACACTATAGCTACATGGGGAAACAAGGATCAAGAGGCCTTTGTGGCTTCCAGAGCTTGCCTGAGTGGCAATAAATGCCAGTAAGAGTGAAGAACAAAGCCCAGAATGTCTCCTGAGAAAAAGCTTCATTACACTTGAAGCCACTTGTCCACAAAGGCTGCTTTTGGCCTCCTATCCATTGGTTTTTGCCTTGTTTTGCCGTCCAGCAGAAGAATTTCAAAATTTTTTCATTAAAGAATGCGGATAGGATACGGATCATTACGAATAGCGTCTCATATATAGTATCTATAATTGCTTCTAGAAGTCAGCGCCCTATAGGGTCTATATGCAATTTATAATCTTGTATTTGCTAAATTGCTATTAGAAATGGTTTATCTTAGTTCGAAAAGTTTTGATTTTTAATGGAGCATCATTTGGCAACTTATTTATACATTGTAACATGTACTGTCAAGAGTGGATAATTATTGTATATTTACCAAGTTGTCTTAGTTTGTTGGTATTCTACTAGTTTTTTTAACTTATAAATTGATATTTGAAACAAGGATTTTAAACTTGTTGATGCTAGATAAATTGTATTGAAAATGTCTTTTCTTGTCACCTTTCACCTTTGTTTTTTATGTACTATGGAGTACTCTTAGCGCCTGCTGCATGTTCAGACCACATGCTTCATGTACATTTACAAGTTCCACCTGTTGATTGAATGTAGCTACTGAATACTTGGTCTACTTTATAAGACTGTGGGTCTCCCCTCTTTCCCATTTTTAGTATTGTGAACCATTCTGTTTTTACTTGCTCTTTCCTCTCTTTTATCTATAGGACTTCTTATGGTGGTATACATGTTGTTAGCTGGGAATCTTAATGTAATGTAATTGGTAAGAGAGTAACTGGTACATCTTCCTGTAGTGATGATTATTAGATTTTTGGACTTTTAGTACATATCAATGCCAGCAAGAGTGGATAATTATTTAGGGAGAGTGTCTAACCCGCCTATAATCTGTGATACCACAGTGCGTAAGTTTACATAGCATGGTTATTAGCACCAAGTAGCCATTCTTGCGTCCTTATACTGATTCAAAGTCAGAAGGCTGCAAATAAGAAAGAGCTAACCATTAGAAGAACATATTCCCGTCTGCTCCTGCTTGTTTCTCGCACTACATGATCTTCAGAGTGGAGATATAAGTCTTAAAGTTGCCAGCATGCTTCAAGCGCCATTTTATCAGCCACACCCATAAATTTGAAGATTACTGAGATTAACTCTGTATACTTGCAAAAAACGGATGTAAACATACACGCTAGTGGTATCACAGAATATAGGCAGGTTAGACACTCTCCCTAAATAATTATCCACTCTTGATGCCAGTAAATGCATTTAAATGTATGCCATGTTGAAGTTTTGAAGTTATAAAGTTTGGGCAGTATACCATTTATATGAAATAATATGGTCCATTGAATTTCAGGGAAGCTTTTTGTCTTTGCATTTCATTGTTGTTTTCATGTCTACATATTAATTATTGTACATGTATCATCAATTAATGTTTTGTGTTTTTTTAGTTTGTGAAAGAGGCAAATTTGTTGATAGAGTGACACTGGTAAGTGTGAATTTAGGTTCTTGATTTATTTGATGTGTTCTTCATGTACATTAAAATGCATGTGTAGCTGAGGTATCTTTTAAAATACATGTGATATGTTATTAGTTATGTTCTTTGTACTGACCTAGGCTGGATCCTTGGTTTAATGATATTCCTCTCTTTCTATCCTGTATCTCGGATTCTCGGTAGAGATTGAGCTTGGTGGAATAGAGAGTAGAGACTAGCTGTGGATTTCAGAAGTGTAACTGTATGTTATACATGTACAATCCACTCATTGTGTTTAACAGCATACATGTACATGTAATATGGAATATCTAATAGTGATGACACACGTCAAAAGTACCGCAGGCACCTAGCGATCTCACGTACTGTACTGCAGTGATCTAATCCAACTACAACTATGCGCTGATGCTGCTGCTAGCGAGGCTGTTTTTTGAGTTTGGGACACCCATCATTACCCTCTGAGCATAAAGAAGAATGTCCTTTTCATTCCTGCTAGGTCATTCACGTTGAGCTTGAGCTTTTTTTATTAATAGTTAACACACAAGCTCACACTTGTTTTTATTGATAAGAGTATAAGAGTTTTTTTTTGAGGGAATTATAATTATTTCGTGAAATCTACTAAAATTCAAATTTTCTGATTTCATTTTTGTAAATTCTACCGCGTGCCATGTGGCTATCGTATTACATTGATTTTGTGGATTTTATTTTCGCAAATCACGAGGGAATTTTCGAAATTCTTGAAATTCGCAAATTTGCAACCCCTAAAAATACGGTAGTAATAATAATAATAATAATAATAGTAATAATGATAATAATAATAATAATAATAATAATAATAATAATAATTGGGGCGAGCATGAGTGAGCCCCACATAAACAACTTAAGTATGCTTCTACACGTACGTCATTTATGTGTTTATTTATTACATGTTTTAAAAATGATAATTTTGATACAATATAGTACTACATGCATAAAGTAAAGCAAGAAATTTCTCATAGAGAAGCTTAAAGGATAACAAAACCCAAAAATTTTTAGCTGCAATTTGTTTATTATGAAGTACTATTACTTGCAAAAATATCAAAATTGTCAATATGCTTGAAAAACTTGCAGAATTGCAGCAATCCGCCATTTTGACAAAAATACTTTGAGTATTGGGCGTGGTCACGTGATGACGCACATGGGGAAACATGTCTTATAAATCTACTTTTATGATCTAAAGTAGTGTCCTCTTTGAATGGTTTATCATATTAGCGACATAAAGGAAGCGGAGCAGCAGCTTTATCTTGTCTGGTGTCTTCTGTTGCTATTTTAAGTACTTAGTCAGAAATATCTTTTACAAAACCTGTCAAAATATTTACTTTAGCAAGCATACATCTATTTACTGTGACTGCTCTTTTCCTTTATCTTTCACCTATGTACAGTACTGCTCACGGGCAAGTTTACAGAGGTGCGCATTTATTATCTCATGGACATGTCACACATTGCGTGGTGCTCTTAACACTTGTCGCAGCACACGTCCATCGATCAATCAAATGTATCACGTGTGGGCGTTGACTCTAGTGAGTCCACTTGTGTTAGAGCACTTGACCATCAAGAACTATAAAAGTGAACGGTTCAGTCTCAGTTTGGCCATCGTATTGCAAGTTTTCTGACACTATGCCAAGATTATTTTTGGAATTGAGGAGGCTGGTTGTCACACTACGCCAGAATGGAAGCTCAGTCGAAGATATCTCTCGTCGGTTATTAGATGGTGGAGTAACTGTTAGCCGCACATCTTTGTACAAGCTGCTAAAGAAGTACAAAGAGAAAGGAACTGTAGGAGATCTATGGAGAGCCACAGTAGTTCCTAAGCTAAGTGAAGAACACTTGGTATTCATTGACAATGCTATGGCAGAGAATGATGAGGCTAATTCCACCAAGCTGTTAGAACTTTTGACAGAAAAGTGGCTGACCCTCAAATTGTCAAAGCCAACCATCAAAAGAGGGAGAAAGAAGCTAGGCTGGGTTGCAACAAGACCCAAATACTGCCAGCTTGTAAGAGATGCAAATAAGGAGAAGAGATTAGTATGGTGTTTGGAACAATTACGTAACAAAAAATGAACAGTTTGACAATGTTATATTTACAAACGAGTGCTCAGTACAACTTGACAATGACAGTCGGATATGTTTTAGGAGAATAAAGCAACTAAGAAAGTACAAACCACAACCCAAGCACCCCATAAAAGTCCATATCTGGGGAGGAATCAGCAAATCTGGAGCTACATCAATTGTCATCTTTACAGGAATCATGATGTTGACAAGATTCTGTATGATTATATAAAATGGACTACAGTCAAACCTCTCTAAAACGAACCCCCAATTAGCGGACATCTCTCTATAACGTACAGTTGCTCTTGTCCCGGCCATAAGGCGATTGGGTAGTATATAAAAGAACCTCTGTATAATTTGTTAGTGAATAATAAATGCAATTAGTGACAGTATAGTAGTTCCCCCATTAGTAAGACAAAAAATAAAAGAAGAAAAATAAGCATATACCAGGCAATAATATCTTCGCTATATGCTCATACGTACATACATAAATTGATAAAAATAACTTTTACATTACTGAAAGTAACACTGATGTTATAATTACTTTCTTTACTGCTATGCATTGCACTTTTCTGTTATTATTATGATTAATGATTATGCAGTGATCATGTTACTATGTGTTTATTAAACACATTGAGGTTGTGTACTAGTTTGGGTAATTAAAGTACATGTATTGTTACCTTTATCAAGCATTTTCAAAAAATCTGAATCCAATTTAGC